CACTGACGACTAACAGTGTTCTGTTGTCGAACTTACATAGATCAGCTAAAAAACCTTGGCTCAAGGTCGTGGGACGAATTCCTGCTGGAGGATAAGCTTCTTTCTTTGACCACTGCGGTGGGTCAGACATGCCTCACATTGGGAAATGTACTCTTTGAGCTCTACTGTCGTACGTGGCCAGAAGAAGGTGTCTCTTGCTCGTCTGACACACCCCTCGATGTCGATATGAGATGAGTACGTATTTTCAATAAGCTCTTTCTTCAGGGCTCTAGGTACAACCACCTGTTAGCATTTAAAGATGAGTTCTTCTCGGACCGTTAACTCCTCTCGAATGTCAAAGTAGAGATGTACGCATTCAGGCACGTCTGCTTTGATGTCTGGCCAACCTCTCTTGATCACCTCTCGTGGAGTCTCCTCGATCTCTCACTGACATCCATGGCCTGTGGTCAATCTCCTCCAGCTCTCTGCTAAACTCGCACGCGTTGACTTCGAGTAAGAAGGCTCTGCTGTGGATATCTGCCAGATGGAGATCTTTGCCTTTCTTCCAATTGTATTTCACGCTTAGGCTGTATCTTTACAGGCTCAGAAACATTCGTTGTAGGCATTTCGGGGCAGTCGCCAACGGTTTAGTGAAGATAGGCTCCAGTGGTTTGTAGTCTGTTTCGATGTGGACTAAATCGCGGCCGTACACGTATGCGTGGAAACGGTCACACGCAAAGACAATCGCTGAAAGCGACTTCTCGATCTGTGCGTAGCGCGTCTCTGCTGGTGTGAGTGCACGTGAGGCATAGGCTGGAGTGACTGTGACGGTATCTTGAAGCCTTTTGAATGCTGCTTGATGTGCTTCCTCACAGATGAACTGAACGTCGTTCAGTGTTAGGTCTCAGGGCAGTATGCACGGATATCACTTTCTCTAAATTGTGGTCGTTAGAAGCACGCTTGTAGACGAGCAATGGTAAAACATTGCACTGTGCCCCTGCGTCGGGTTGGAAACGGATAAAGTTTACGGACTCCAACTGAAGTGTAAAGAGCTGTGAATCATCCAAACGGACGGCTAATGCTTCCTCCGTTTGATATGCCTCCTCAAAATACATATCAGATTCTACGGTAGCCTTGGCGTCCTGCTTGCATCTATTAGCGAAATGGTTTTTCATTCCGCACTTCCGGCAGTCCTCTCGACGCGCCGGACAGGATTCCAGATTTGCCAGATGTTGATATCCACAGTTGTCGTATTGTTTGCCCTGACCTGAAGAGCGTTGTCTTCGACGATGATTTCTTGTTTTCTTTGAACTTTCGCTCTCTGAGTTATTTACAATGTTAATGTCTGTCTATTAAAGGCCCATTTCCAACCTTGATGCAACGCGGTCGTTTGTTTTTGTTTTGAACCACCGCTTTTGTTTAAATAGCGCCTCTGATTGGTCAGTTATTTTTACTTTGTCACGTTGTCTCAAAATACCTCCTGCGTTCTCTCCGATGAAGTTGAAGAGCTTGTCAAAATAATTTTGTTTAAAACAGTTCTATACGTTTCAATCGGGCATGGAATCAGATTAATCCATTGATTTTAAAGATTGCAAGGCAGTAAACGCTTAAGGATCGGTTGTTGCTTAAGAGGAACACGAAAATCCTTGCGAGCATTTCGAAGAAGGTGAAAATGATGATCCACCACGTTTTCATCCATTCATTAAATTTGCCATCCTTGTTAAATAGGACCAAGGGTCAGTTGAAGTTTCCTGCCCGTGGAGAGGAACTTGCGCTCGAAAAAGTGGTCGAGGTTGTTGTCCATGCAAAGCAGCAAACAAGAATTGTAACGCAAACTGTCAGTGTCGCTGACGTTCCTGCAATGAAGTGACTAAAGTTAAAATAATTTAACGTCCGGCAGTCCGATATTTTTCCATATTTCTCTTCAAAATCAAAAAAATTTATACGAAAAGGTTCTACCCTTATTTAAAATCCTCAAGCGCTTCCAGACAGCCTAAAATTTCGAACTTGATGTTTTTCGCTAACCCTGTATACAGAGTACGAGGCTATCCAAACGCTTGACACTTATAAACTTTTCAATGACACGGCTAGACACGGTCCTCAAATGACTCCATATTTCTCTTTCAAATATTCCAATTTTTCGTTGGAAATATTCTACCTTCATTTAGAATCCTCAAGCGCTTCTAGAAAATGAAAAAATTCCAACATTGTCCGTTTCGCTGACCTTCAGTACACAGAGTGCGAAGAGATCCAAGCGTGACACTGAGAAAATTTTCACCAGACACTACCGGACACGGTCTTCGAATAACTAAACGTCCGGCAGTCTGATATTTTTCCGTATTCCTCTTTGAAAAATACCAATTTCTATTGGAAATACTTTATTTTCATTTAGAATCCTCAAGAACTTCTTGAAAGTGAAAAAATTTGAACGTTGTCTTTTTCGTCGACCCTGTTCACAGAGTACGAAGAGATCCAAGGGTGACACTTGACTACGGTGACACTTGACACTCGACTACGTCTCGTGTTCCTCCCTACACTTCTTTCGTGTTTTCGCCGCTTCCTGCGTGCTTTACAAGAGAACAGAGCACAGTCAAGGCTTCTTTATTTGTTAAATATGGAAGGCGCAAATAGTGAGAAAAAATACTTTCAAATGCGATTGTTTACATTTTGCCATCAAATATTGTCAATATTGACAATAGGTGCCAAGATCGGCTCTTTTCAAAGAACAACTCTCCCCCTCCCCCGCGGCTTTTTCCATTTCGCGCCACTTTCGCGCGTTGCGACCTCACGCCTCTACTTTTGAATACGACCTTATCATATTTAAGGAAGAAGAATACCACTGTGATATGGTTCCGTGCTTGGACTATGGAGATCCAGTGACTGCCAGGGAGACTGGGGAAGAAATGTCAAACGAGTTAGCAGAAATGGAAGATGAAGATATTCAGAGAGATACGAGGGGTTTAACCACAAGATCAGGAAGAAAGTCAAGGTGTCCAAGAGAATCATTGTTCTTATTTTACGACTAACTTGAAACACAAGAAACCTTCGGCAGCAGCATCCATTACTCTCCCCTGGATAGAATACAAGTCCACGACGTAAGCACTTCATCACGATGCATCTAGCCGGCTTGTATGCAGGTGAAATGGTTGTAGTGATTCACAATACAAACAGTGTCTTCTTGCAAAAAAAAAAAAGGCTAAACAAGACGGCGTAGTTTACAGGATTCCCTGTGACTGCAGTAAATTCTACATCGGCAAGACAGGAAGACCCATGCAGGATTGAATTAAAGAGCATGATCGAGAAATCCGACTAGCCCGTAGCCAGACCTCCGCCGTTTCAGAATACGACCACAACACATGATATATATAAGCCACTCTGGAACGAGGTTATGTTTATCGATCGTGATCCTTATTACTACACACGTAGGATCAAAGAGGCAATTCACACTAGACTTCACTCTGATAACATTAATAGGGACGGTGGAGTAGAAATTCTAGAAGCATGGATGCCCACGATCCGCAAGAAACACAACAACAAGAGAGACAACGGATCGCTGAGGGAACAAATCAGCGAAACAGCGAGGAAATGCCCCTGGAAAATGTATTTTTCGTTATCAAGCGCCCAAATATATCGCACTCAATGACGCCATCATCAGAGATACGAAAAACAAGAATTAACAGGACACAGGATATTTTGGCCAAAAATTAATGAGATACCGGATACTCAGATCTCCCCTTAAAGGGGCCTCTTCAGTCTATACACAACTACAACTCCGAGCATTGCGCATCAGGCAAGCACGTGCTTTAATGTCACGCAGCTTGTCACAATTCCCTTACTCTTTGCAGCCTTCAGCAAGTTTATGAATAGCCATTCCAGTCGAAACCATTTTCTCCCAACATCGTTCGACTACAATGCAATTTTGATAAATGCACTGTCAGTTGTTAAATGGCATTTGTATGATTTCAAAGGCAGTAACTTTTCTGATGCAGTGGATTACAAAGCACTGAAATCATTTTGAGAGTACCTGCTCAAGTTTTTCCTCAAGAACGAAATTCGATCTCTCTTTTTCTTCTTTCAACCAAAGAAGGGCAGTCGTTATCTTTATTTTGAATACATTTAGCCCTTTTGAGAGGGGCAATTTGAAAATTTAAGTGACTTCTGCAATTCCTTGAAAACAACCTGTCCCAATGCCACAATATTTAATGGCAATCATAGCTTTCTCCATCTGGTTTGAGCAGAAATCTTGCCTTCTACACCTTGGCCTGTGTGGCCAATGTAAAAATGGGAGGGGTAAGCAAGGGTTCAGCCCAATGTCCCACAATTAGTCACAGGTACTTGTTTAAGCTAGTTATTATACACATACAGTTAGTTGTTATCGAACAAACCTTTGTTCGCGTGGCATACGTGTACTTCCTTGTCCCAGACTTATTTTGCCCAAATGATTGACTCAACGATAACAAATGCACAACATTACATGGTCAATTTAAAAAGGGGATGGATCGACCTTGAAATTATGTCAAGATGTTATCAATGTTAAATACGTTTTCTCTAATTTTTAATTCAGAAACGTAACTGCTGTCGAGCTAGGTATTATCTAAAATAAGATATTACTGACGTTTTTGGATCGTATTTCTGAACCTTGTGCTTTGTGGCAGTATCGAGTTATTGTGTTGCAAATCGAACGTTTTTAAAGTCGTCACTATCCTGGTAATTTCATTGCGTTAAGTTCCAACTATTCCTTGGTGCACAGAGAGGACAATCAATCAGCAAGCTTTTTATTACCAAACTGAGAAACTAAACTTAGTTTACACACATAATATATTAATACAAAAAAGGTAAGATTTACTCAGAATAACTGGAAAGCTAATCTAGCTGAGTAAAAGTAAATAATGTTTAAATATAGGACGTAGGTTGGCACTAAAGCTTGAGCAAAGAAAATAATTGGTCAAAAAAAAAAAGACAAAAAAAAAATGAATAAAAATAAGATAAACAAAGAAGAAGAGACCAGTTGAAAACTCATGAACAGTAAGACTGTAAGATGTTTAATTTGACTTTGTTTTCAAATGTTTTACTGAAGGGGGAGGTGTTTAATGCATCGCCTCCATTTTAGTTTGAAAACTCATAAAGAAAATTGACTGTAAAGTTAACAGAGCTAAGAAATTCACGCTGTGCTCGCGACAACCGCTGACCAGTCAATCGGTAAGAGTGGCTTTGTATTCCTTTAGTTTCATTTCGTCTAAGTTGTACCTTGATTGTTGTTAGTTTTATCTTGCGTTCGTGTATTTTTTGTAATGCGACTATTGTTCACGGCCTTATTAATTTCGTATCGCTTAAATTAGTCTCTTGTTTGTATTTCAGTTTGACGTTATGGAACATTAGTGGAATATATCATATTGGATCGTACTTCCGTTGATTAATGTGTTGATATCAGTTCAACAACCCTCCAACCTTTGCGAGTCTAGAGTTTAGTTACAATTGAAAAAGGACATATGTTAAACTTCTGAGTTTTTTTCCACGAATGGTGAACAAGCGCTCTCAGAAAAATTGACAATGGCTATAACAAATTTTCATTACTATTTACATAGTTGAAAAACTTCCCAGTTTCAAGAAATGCCTAAATTTAAATAATGAAGCCCCTTTCAGAGAAAAGCATTTATCCATGCTAAACTGATTCACAATATGCGATGCACGTATTATACAAATTACACCCCATTGATCCATAACACATGCAGCATATAAGTAGGTAAAAATTGAACCCCAGAGTGCAAGTGCAAACGTTTTACCAAAAAAAAATGCTCTTTTAGTGTCCAAATATGATAACTTACAGGCTTTCGCCAAATAAAAAATCGTTTGTTTAATAAAGGGGGTAAATTTGTAAAGAAACTTAGATGCTGCGTCAGTGGAAGAGTATAACAGAGTAATTTAGTATTATCAACTAAGTTTATAACGTAAATTGCACGAGTGAATGCAATCCTCAGTCTTCTTCACTTGACTCTGAATCCTGAGGAAAGAAAGATATATTAAATATACGTCACGAGCGTGGATGGAAAAAGTTTCGGATATAAATACTCAGTTTAAAAATAGAGTAAAGATTAAGAGCTTCTTTTGTATTTTTTGCTTTTTTATAACGATTTGTCGAAGTGTACCTTGATCTCGTAACATTTCTGGCTCTTCATAAGTGTTAGGTCGGATCAAGAGCTTATACAAACAAGTTTATAATCTCCTGGTCAGATGGCAAATAATAAATTTTGCTAATGGAGTTTGACATGGAGCGAGGAATTGAAGCTAAATTCGTGAAGCAGGGTATATAAAATTTAAGAAACAGATTTGAAATTTTGATATATTTTTCTTATAAAGCAAGCCAATAGTAACCGACGACCCATTTAAAAAAAGACTAAGTTAAAATGGCAGCTCATCTGCAGTTCAGTGGAATCGCAGAAACAAAAGTCAAATTCTGCCGGAAAATTACGGAAAATATGACGTCTCAAAGTATCAATCGGCAAAACTAAAAGGCTCTTTCCTCCACAGTGACCAGCTGTCTTAGCAAATGAACACATGGTATAGGGACAGTTCAACTTTCAACACCCACCTCAAGATCACTTTTTTTATCGATTTTTCGTTCTTCTCTTGTCCCATAAATCGTCTTCAGTTGATCCTAGTATCATTGGAGTGAATACGAGGGTTAATGCCGAGGAACTGAATTTTAAAAGTTTTCCTCCAAATTATACTTTGAGTAAAATGATATCTTACCTGCTTTGTGCCGTCTATTATTCAAAACATTATTCTCCCAAGCTCTTGCTAAATTCATCAAACGGGGTTAGTTTCTAAGGAAACTGTGCTGCTGCTTTGGTGGGGGGAAGTTAAAAGATGATTTGGTTTTTATCGACTGAGTTAATAATGTAAACTGGCCACCATAAAGAGCCTCTAAAGCTGACGTTACCAGCTTTAGGCCTTCTTCAGAGTGAATGACAAACTTTATTGAGGAAAAACAAACAACTTTTTTTTCAATTGTTACAGGAGCACAGTGATCATGCCACAAAAGAAAGAAAAACATTGGCACTGCTGGAGATAAGAAATTTTTCAGGAATATGAGAAGAACTAATGAAATTCGTAGCTTCATTTCTACGCGTAGTTCACGCGAGGTTGGGGAATATTTTTATGGAAAGTGTCAGTGAACGATTTCTCCATGGTCACGCGTAAAATCAATGCCATGTCCGCAGTAATTAACATTTTTTCAACAATATTTACTAAGCCTGGGGCAGCCGATTGTTTTAATTTGATTTAAGAGCTAACCCAACAGAGAAAACGATAATCAACGGTCACCAACGCATTTTATTTCCAGTGTAAATTTTTTGTTTGCTGGAATAAGCACAGTTAACGATCACGCCGCCCTTGTATTCCCTCGTTTATTTTGCTCGCGTGCGATTGGTCTATACGTATCAAGTTGCTCGTTGCAATTAACAATTGGTTCATACGTCAGCTGTGCGTTCATCGAGATATGAAGCACTTGG